CCCCCCCCCCCATCCCTACCGTGCCGCAAAAGGTCGCGTGACCCTTGCGGGGCTTACTAGCTCAGGGCCGGGTTCTTTCCTCGCGGTTATCCGATAGCGGGCCGAACACCCTAGCCGGATTTGGTCAACGGTTTCGCGGTATGTCCTGATATACCTGGCGCCCTTAAGAAATTCAAGCGAGCCGTATCGTTTATGTTCGGGATTTTTCTAACCGCTCGAATCGGGTACACCGCGGGAAGAACTGAGCGGGGTACCAATTTGTAGGGTGTGGGTGCGAGACCCCAAATTTCCGTCGCAACACACAAAAATTACAAATATCATGGACCAAAATTCAATTTGACTCACAAAACGTTCACGTTTTGTTTCAATGTCCTATGTTTCATTGATATAATAAGGTAGGACCCTAAGTTGAAAACTGACAATGTGACCTGTCATAGCTTATTCTGCAACCATCAATAATCTCTGAATGCTTTAATATATAAATACAGTATAAACATTTCTAAGAAAAGATAAAATGATTACTTACCTTTGCCTTGGATGAGGACTACCTCTAGGATACTGCATAGGATGCCGATGTTGCGAAGGTGGTGGATGCCTGGGAGAGTCATTACTCTCGACGGGAGGCAAGAAAAAATTGCTCTTGGAACCATGTCGTTGTAACGGTGGAGTTGGTTCACAGTCTGCAGACTGGGAAGCTGTGGGCTCCATGTCAGTGTCCGATCCATCCCGACCAGGGGACAACTGTAAATCATGAACTCCGCAAGTTATGTCAAAACTGTTCCAAAAGAATAATTTACTTCAAACACGAGGATCTGCATCAGGGTCACAAGGATGTTAGGGTCCAGGACTACAGGTATTTGGGTGGCGACCGAAATCTTTGATTTGATTCATGATAACCATCGGATGTTGAGGTGCTACTGCTTGATGTGGTGGTCTGTTAAGATATATTTGAAAAGTTTCATTAGAATGAAACATGCTGACAAACTAAGATGTGAATAAGCAAAAAAGTACTTAATTATAGTACCATTGTAAATATACTACAACAAGCAATTAGTTTACTTCACTAATGACAATTGTGTATTACGTGCATAATTTTAATCTTCTAATGTATGTAAGAATAAAAGAAAAAAGGATGTAACTCAGAATCTTGATTTTAGAACACAAATGATATTAATTTCTATTTATGAAAATACGATATGCATAGTACTGCTTATATACTTGGGGACACTTGATAAAGTGCCTAAGTTTTGTACAGAACAAATCAGTGAACGAAATTGTTGGAACAGTCGTGAATTCTTGTATAAACTAGTAAAGGGAATAACACATAAATTACTAAATGGATCAGCCACTAAATAAATGAAATCAAGTCAACATGCTGTCATCATTGCAATGAAATTAGGAGATACTGTCTCAAAATATATATTTGGTAACATATCCGATTTAAGTTTTTAAAAGAAGGAAAGTACTGTCGCATTTAGCAAAAATAGCTGGTTTCTACATTTTTATAAAAAAGCAATTTAAACTATTTTTGTAATTAAAAATTGCATAAAAAGTATATTTGGTGTAGTTTTTTTATGCCTGAGGTATTTTTTGAGGAGATTAATATGCCTGTATCTTCAAGGAAGTGAAGCATATTTTAATAGTCTTGCTCCAAAAATGAGTATACATTTTAAAAAGTTCTTTGGAGTTATATTAATGCATCGAGAGCTCAGAGTCTCTTGATCCTGATAACAATAAATATTGATTCAGCACAATAAACCTTGTACGTTATACAACTCATTTTATTCAATAATCAGTACAAAATAAGACGAAAACATTAATCCTGATCAAGGCATTTTTAGTCAGTTCTGGCTTACATTTCTTAATAAAGTATCCACATTATTAACAAAATAGTTTTTACTATTAAAAATTTCACGCATATTGTGTGATACACTGTGACGTGGCAGGATTTTGCCGTCACAATTGGGGGTGCAGCGATAGCGGTAAGTACCGAATATTGTATTAATTTAATTGCAACATCAATTGGCGACACCGGGGGTTATCGTAGACAATCACTAGCTGTAAGTATGTGTTGTAAATAAGGGCGTCCTAGGATAAGAACTAATAGGGTTAAGTGTTTATCGGGAGAGTATGTCGCGGCCTTGCTACCGTCGGTACGCGTCGAAGAGGAAGAATCGGGATCTAAATTATCGCGCCGCGATACCGGTCGGGACATCTAATGTGCGCGCTGTCAATTGACGACGCTTGGCAACTTGACGGCGTTTGACGGAAGGTCTGGAGGGGGATTTCCGAAATCCGTAGGTCCTGGTGAACCGAGGAGCTCAATGTCCAGGATACTCCCGGTGTCGCCGGAGTTGTCGAGCTCGCTGCCGCTGCTCCATCTTTGAGTTTGACCGGTCGCGGAAGGGTAGAGAGTCACTTGGTGAGCAAACCCCTAGTGGGCTTTCAAAATAGAAGTTTCCTTTCCGCTCGAAAGAAAATCAGAAATATCCTGTACTCGGTTAATTTGCCTCCTCGACACGTGCCCCGGGAGTTCTCGTAAGATGTCCGGCCGTTAGCGGCTGACCGGGACCGGGACCGGTCCCGTCTTGATAGAGAATACGCTCCCGATTTTTCTCGTCCCGCGTGTAATTACCGATTCTTGTTAGTGTTGCGTTAGGGCCCTCCGGTTGATCGTTACCGACCCACTCGGCCTGTCATGTCCGTTCGTTTAGGGAGGCCTGGGTGGTGTTAGTTGGGCGTTGTGCCCCGTGTTCTCCCGGAAAGTTGGGAGTTGATTTATGGAGGAGCCGGTGGCTCCATTTTAGTTGCGGACTTAGAGGATTTATCCCTGTACGCGCCGGTAGGGCCCCGAAGTATCTCTGCGAGGGCAGTATGGAGACCCAATAAACTAGGAGTGAGATTCTCGATGGAATAGGACTACGTGATTTTTTTTTCTGACTTCCTTTCCAATTTCCAAGCCCATTACGCCGCTCCACTGTGGTGGGCGACCCCCCCCCCCCCCCCATCCCTACCGTGCCGCAAAAGGTCGCGTGACCCTTGCGGGGCTTACTAGCTCAGGGCCGGGTTCTTTCCTCGCGGTTATCCGATAGCGGGCCGAACACCCTAGCCGGATTTGGTCAACGGTTTCGCGGTATGTCCTGATATACCTGGCGCCCTTAAGAAATTCAAGCGAGCCGTATCGTTTATGTTCGGGATTTTTCTAACCGCTCGAATCGGGTACACCGCGGGAAGAACTGAGCGGGGTACCAATTTGTAGGGTGTGGGTGCGAGACCCCAAATTTCCGTCGCAACACACAAAAATTACAAATATCATGGACCAAAATTCAATTTGACTCACAAAACGTTCACGTTTTGTTTCAATGTCCTATGTTTCATTGATATAATAAGGTAGGACCCTAAGTTGAAAACTGACAATGTGACCTGTCATAGCTTATTCTGCAACCATCAATAATCTCTGAATGCTTTAATATATAAATACAGTATAAACATTTCTAAGAAAAGATAAAATGATTACTTACCTTTGCCTTGGATGAGGACTACCTCTAGGATACTGCATAGGATGCCGATGTTGCGAAGGTGGTGGATGCCTGGGAGAGTCATTACTCTCGACGGGAGGCAAGAAAAAATTGCTCTTGGAACCATGTCGTTGTAACGGTGGAGTTGGTTCACAGTCTGCAGACTGGGAAGCTGTGGGCTCCATGTCAGTGTCCGATCCATCCCGACCAGGGGACAACTGTAAATCATGAACTCCGCAAGTTATGTCAAAACTGTTCCAAAAGAATAATTTACTTCAAACACGAGGATCTGCATCAGGGTCACAAGGATGTTAGGGTCCAGGACTACAGGTATTTGGGTGGCGACCGAAATCTTTGATTTGATTCATGATAACCATCGGATGTTGAGGTGCTACTGCTTGATGTGGTGGTCTGTTAAGATATATTTGAAAAGTTTCATTAGAATGAAACATGCTGACAAACTAAGATGTGAATAAGCAAAAAAGTACTTAATTATAGTACCATTGTAAATATACTACAACAAGCAATTAGTTTACTTCACTAATGACAATTGTGTATTACGTGCATAATTTTAATCTTCTAATGTATGTAAGAATAAAAGAAAAAAGGATGTAACTCAGAATCTTGATTTTAGAACACAAATGATATTAATTTCTATTTATGAAAATACGATATGCATAGTACTGCTTATATACTTGGGGACACTTGATAAAGTGCCTAAGTTTTGTACAGAACAAATCAGTGAACGAAATTGTTGGAACAGTCGTGAATTCTTGTATAAACTAGTAAAGGGAATAACACATAAATTACTAAATGGATCAGCCACTAAATAAATGAAATCAAGTCAACATGCTGTCATCATTGCAATGAAATTAGGAGATACTGTCTCAAAATATATTAAATTATTATTACAGTAGCCATGAAAACTTCATAAACTAGTAAGGACATTAATAGATAAATTAGAAACCGAATAAACCAGTAAGTGGATGTAAAATTAGTAAAATATGTTATCGCCACCTTATACAGTCACGAACCAATATTCTAAAATATATGAGCGGTAGTGTAAGTTGTACTTTTCCACTCCATATATTTGTTCCCTTGATACTGAATTCTGAAATATTTCTTAGAATCCGTAATATCAATGTTGGACTAATGCTATGAATTAACATTTGCTCAAACGAGCTGAAAAATAAAAAATACGTTAAAATTATGCAATACTGATTCTACTTAATATGTATAAGTGTAAATAAATAATTTTTATCAGATGTGGTTAGAAACGATTTATATTTAGAATGCATTAAAGTTATGTAAATGTAACAAAAATAAAGGAGCATTGCATTTCACCACAGGCAAATGATAAATTCATGTTGCAACATGATTTAGAGTAAAAAAGAAGTGCTAAAAATCAGCAATTGATTAAAGCTTTTTCAAATATAACGTACTCTACGACTAATAGAACTGAAAGTATGCAAAGAAAGCAAGAACTAAGCAATAAAACTAACTTGAAATCCCAATTATGGTTGCAATTTAAGTATAACAGCTACTTTATAAACTACGGCCAAAATTAAAGTACATAGAGTAATAGTTCAAGTAATTAAGATACTGGATTGATACGTCCTAACTCACGTTAAAGCACCTCCAAATGTCTAAAAGTGAGTCAGGACTTACCTTCCAAACCAACAAATTAAAATTGTTTAAAAACTTTTTTGTAATGTAGAATTGAATATTCACAATTCCACGCATTTTTCTCTTAATCCTAATTTAAAGAATTAGCAAAAGTATTTCAGTAGATAATTTAATGTAAATCAAGTGGTTTTAGACTAACACTATACTTTGGTAAATTCATTAGCCCACTAATTTCTGGGGTAAATCATGAGGGTGAGGACAAATAATGATGATGAAATGCGCGCGTGTGTGTGTGTGTGTGGGGGGGGGGGGCACTCTTTAGAAAGCAAAGGTCATGCAAAGTAGTAAAAGTGTTTTAAAGAGATAAACTAATTTCAATGCAAAGATATGATTATCACTACATTTTAGAATCACAGTCCGAACTAAAGCATAGAAAAGATTAATCTATATCACCCTAGCATCTTACCTTATTGTAAGCATTTGAACTGGCATTTCTAACACCATTGCTGCTATCCATGTAGGTTTTTACCTGGTTCTCTCTGTCTATTGTGGATATCTCGGATGTGCAAGCTCCACGTCGTTTCCCTGAATACTTATCAGGCTTAATTAAACTAAAACAAATACGATCAAAGTCTGAATTACTACATACACTCTGAGGAACCATAAAAGTTTTGAAAGATATGTGTCAAGAAGTTAGTGTAAAAAGACTCAAAATACCTTGGGTACTGCGGTCCAAATTGTGTGTAACAGCAATTATGCAAACATCCACGAGAAAATGGATTGTAGCCACCATTGAACTTGCCTGTAACTTGTTCATTGGTGGTGCGACCTCTGGATACAAGAACCACATGGAAGCCTGTCAGTCCAAATATTGGAATAAACACAATAGTTACAACTCCCATGAGCACCATTCTATTAAAAAAGTTAAGGGTCACAGACATAGCAATTTTGCAAAAGGAACATGTCAATGTCACGTTTTTCCTTAATCACATGAAAACTAATTAATAAATCATATAACTTACATTTGATACTAAACAAATACCTTAAAAGAAGAAACATCACTATAAGATTACTTTACAGAAACAAAATATTCATACTATTTTAGAAAAGGATACGCAATAATGGTGTTAACTTCACTTAATTTTTGTTTGTGTTCGAGCACGTAGTACAGACACAAACCAAAAATACTGAGCATGTGAAGACTTAGTGACAATAAGAAAAAGAAGAAGAATCTATAGTTTCTTCTGCCGATACAATTATTTACCCATGGACAATGATGATCAAATGTCTGGAATCAAACCAACATTAATACACATGTTTACCTACTGTTTATTAAAATCTTTTATTTAGACTTACTTCAATGCAATGATTGCAAACACTGCAATGTGAGCATCTTGGTGGCCGATAGAACTTACAGGTAACACACCACTTCATGCGTACTGTAATACCATTGATATCAACATTCTTATACAATGGTGCTCGGAAATCATCCTCCCGATCCTCATCCGGAGGTGCTGTACATATAAACAGGTACATAAGCCTTTCCGTAAAATAAAAATACTATAAGGACAGTTGAATATATTTAATTAAAAAATAACACTGCAAATCTTTAAATCCAATTAGTAAATTTTTTCACAATAAGTAACTGATCTATAAAATCTTCAATGTGATACAAATAATGACAAAACTTTGTAGCATCAAAGAATCTCTTTAATTTTATTTAACCTGTTACCCGGGGATGACACAATTTTTCGTCTAAATAAGAAGACACCTCAAGCGGGCATGACGACTTTTTTTGTCATAGAAATTAGGCAAAGAAAAAAAGTCCCCATTGTAAAATGAGTTGTACAAAAGTTAATTCCCTGGTTAACAGGTTAATAAGCACAGGCACAAATATCTATTATGTTATACTTTATTTTACTACATGCTTTAAACCAATTACCTTTTGGAATGACACCTGGATCCATAAAGGTAGCAAGAGTGAAATTGGAGAGAACGAAAAAGGTGATAACTCCTTGCAGTGCAGGAACCCATGGGTACCGGAACAAGTAATACTGACACCTAAAAGGATCAAGAGAGATTTTCAATGAAAAGGATCAGAAGATACGGATATACAGTATTTGAATGGGATGAAGACTTACGGGAAATAATAGAAGAGCGTGGTTGCGCCAAGGAGGAGGGTCCACGCGAAGGTAGCCGGTAGATATCTCGTCTTCACGTCGCATTTCGGCATTCTGTAGGACAGCGTTCCTAGGCGTCGCGTTAGCTGTTCGCTTGCGATCCGCTGTTCCGAGAGGACTTTCTTCTAAGAACGGTCAGAATTTCTGTTAACAGCGGAGAACATGGCCGCATCCATTCATAGCGCCCAGCCGCTTGTGCCGCCTCACGAGTTTGGCGCGGCTGCACTCGAGTTTCCCTAGGTCCAAGTAAGGATACACTCCGGCCATCACGCAATCAACTTCCGCGGAAACGCGAGCGGTTCGTATACGTTGCCCATCCCGCAAGCCACTCGTGTCCGCATTTATGCTTCGCAAGACTCACTCCACCACTGAATCCACGCGGAACCTACCACTATCCGCGCTACTATCACCGCCACCACGACCGTCCCACCGAGCACAACGCAATGACATGTATCTCGTGTTCTCGTACGCGTTTACTCTGACTTCCCTCTAATCCTCTGCACTCACGCGTGCGGCCATAGTGCACTGTCGTATGCAGGGGGTCGACACTGCCATGTACACTGGACTCCATCGATGGCTTGGTCCTGGTCCGCACTGCCCTCTCCGGCCACGCAGCGTACCAGCGTGGGGAGCAGCGCGGAATTCGAATCGCTCGAGAGGCAGAATGGATTTCCTAAAGAAAATAAATATTTATAAACAAAAACAATTAATGAAAATTATTTTAGTATTACTGTGGAGCGTCCCTGACTCACCTAACATAGATTTTGTTAAATAATAATTTTCAGAATTTTATGAAGAATATAATAGAACATGTTCTATTAAATGTTAACAAGGTTCTTAGTGATTCAATTGTTCCATTCACTGAACCGAAGATAGAATATTATCTTAGCTTAAAAGAAATAGTTTCTAAATATATATACAGTGAAATACCGTCGGAAAATGTACGACGCATCACCTATCGGACATAGAAACGAAATCGTGATTTCATGCCTCTTATATACTTACGTTCTACACCATTCTTCGTATTCCTCGAATAAATGGACACCTGTAAAACATTAAATGAGCATGTATATGAGCACCCGTAAACATAAGAAAGACTTTTCATATCCGAGTTTATTATAAACACAAATCGGAGTAACTCTTACGAATTGATTTCATTCGAAATAGGTATCCAAAACGTAAAACCCCATTTCCATTTCGTATTTGAAATAAGAACAATAAACTGTTATGGATTTCCAATTTTAAATAGATTTTGAATCTATTTGCGTTTGAAATTAAATACTTTCAGAGAAATGAGAATATTAGAAAAGAGTCGATCAGAATGATACTTTTTCTATCAACTGAATCAACTTTCGATAAACTTAAACATCACGCGTAACTCGAAATAGCCACATACAGATGAGATTAAATTGTTTACTTGCATTTTAAATACAAATACAAGTCATAAAATTACGTGTCCGAAAAAGGCATGGACAACGGAGGGTTAACATTACGACTAGATGGCACGGTTAATTCGAGACGACATTTCTCGTGGAGGAATTGATCCTCCATTCGCTCTGTTAGTTACTTGATCGCGGTCGCTGCAAAATGACAATCCGCCTTGCTAGCCGCGGAAGGAAAGAGCGATAAGGCCCGAGGGTGAGCAACGGCAAGCGAGAACGCCGTCGGTAGGCATAAGATCCGCGAAACAGCAACGGAGAACGCCGCTCCGGATGGGACGGACTAGACCGCAGCCCGGGGTAGAGAGAGGGTCTTCCTCGCCTGCGTGTAGACATCGATGCTAATCCGATTATCGGGAGCCGATACCGAGACCCTCACAACAGGAAGTGGAAGGCCCGCGACAGGAGTTTTAAGAGTGGTAGAGAAAGCCCGGTGCCTATGCGACCCGTAGGAGTAAGAGAGAACGCCACGTCTAGGAGCCCCGAACCGGCGGCCGAGCCGAGCCGGCCCTGGCGATGGGAAACTTATTTTTGGTCTTCTCCTTCCCTTTTCCCTCCACGTGTCACGTTTGTCAGAAAATTCATTAACGAAATATTGGCCATTTAAATTTACTTTGGGCTGTAGCGCGGCTGTTCGACGGTCGCGAAATACGCTACAACTTGTTTGCATATAATATCATATTGCAAGAATGTCAATTCCTTCGAAAATATACAATTTTATTTCGAATCGTGTTTCCTCTATTTACTGTGCTTATTTAAGTTTACCTTTTTCGCGAAATTTCTCTTTGTATCATTTTGCTTTAATGTCAATGCCGTCAATTTGTTTTATTTTAAACCACGGAACTCTGAAATTTCATCATTTTTCAGTTTCCACATGGCTTATAAATTTGCATGTCTTAATAAAACAGGGACGACGAGAGGTTAGTTACGTGTAGACGGTATAGTTTATTCGGGACGATAGTTTTCGCTAAGGAATCGATCCTCCTTTCCCTCTGTCAATTACTTCATCGCGGTCATCGCGAAATGGCGATACACCTTGCGAGCCCTGAAAGGAAGGGGCGATAACGCCTGCGGGTAAACGAGTCCAAGCGAGAACGCCGTCGGGAGACATAAGACCCGCGAGAGAGCAAGGGAGAACGACGTTCCGGAAGGAACGAGGACGTAGCCCGAGGCAGAAAGAGAATCTTCTTTGTCGGCGTGAAAACATTGACAACAATCCACTTATCGGGAAACCGACATTGACACCCTCACAGCAGGGGGTGGGAGGCCCGAGACCGGAGTCTTGAGAGTGGTAGTGGAAGCCCGGGGCCTATGCGACCCGTAAGAGCAAGCGAGAACGCCACGCCCCTCGAGCCAATAGTCGGCGGCCCAGCCGTGCCCGCCAAGCCAGCGGCAAAGCGTTATTTGGTCAGGACTCGAAGCCCGGACGCATAAGTCTATCTCTACTCTAAGAGACGGTTAGAGCATCAAATAGGCCACCTCACTCGGACACAAGGCCTTTAGGAGGGCGGATAGAGGGAGACACAAGTATGCGCCATGTTTAACTCAGGAAATGAGTTGAATTTACTCATTTTTTTTCCCGCGCAGAAGTAAAACAACATAAATCTAGAAATTCATGAAAGAAAACATAAATGCTAGTCTATGTAAATGTCTTAAAATACATTTTATTCTCCTAAAAAATAAGCAGCCAATATAAAACTTTATAAATTTCTTTAGTATCTGTCGAAGTTATTTGGTCTCGTTTTTCTCGCTCGAGTGTACTCTGAAAGATATCGTGGGTGTTATTTTCATACACTCGATGACCAATCTGCTTAACGTAGTTTCTAACCATCTTTTCCCGATTCGCCCCGACCAATAAACTGAAAAGGAAATCAATTGCTTGAAAATTGATGGTTTAATTTTTCTCAACCTGACCTGAAATACATTACTGTAAAATGTATGTTACAGCCCAAAGTGAATTTAAATGGCCAATATTTCGTTATATCAATTTTCTAACAAACGTGACATATGGTGGGATAGGGAAGAAGGAGACCAAAAATAAGTTCCCCTTCACTTGTTAACATTTAATAAATCATGTTTTATAATATTATTTAAGAAAATTCTGTAAATTATCATTTAACAAAAACTACGTTAGGTGGGTCACGGGCACTCCACGAAATACTTAAATAATTTTCATTAATTGTTTTTGTTTATAAATATTTATTTTCTTCATGAAATCCATTCCGCCTCTCAGGCGATTCAAATTCCGCGCTGCTCCCGCCGTTAGTACGCTGCGCGGCCGGAGAGGGCACTGCGGATAGGAAGAAACCATCGACGGAGTTCAGTGTACTTGATATAAGTGCCAGGTGGCGACATATCGCTTCTCGTATTCCTGACACGATACTTCAAGTAATCAGTTTGAATCAGAGATGGGGCTTCATCCTTCTTCCTATTTTAGAACCGATGATTTGGATACCAAAAACATAAATAACTAGGAAAATGATAATTCTTTCCATTTTATTCTATATTAACTACATTATTCTCTACTGGTTAAAAACTTCCAATTATGCATCTGTTATGAAAATAGAAAGATGGAAATGATTAGAAATTCGGAAGATAGTGGCTAGAAGTGAGACCTCCGTGATCGTGCAATTTCTTATTAACATGTCACTTGCATTGTGTTTTTGCGGATTGTGCACATTAAGAAAAAAAGAAAACTCAAACATGAATGTTACTGGAAAGAAGAAAAAATTACTTTTAGATAATATGAACAAGATTTCGGATTTCGGCAGGGAAAAATTGAGATACAACCCTCAAAATATTCGTATTGTGTACATGCTGATTGTTCGTATATCTTATTCCTTTCAAGTCTGAATTCTGCTACCTTGAACGTTTACTTTCATTAAAAATCGCTTGGTCTCTTTTTCTGTCTTTATTATTGGCCTTTTTCCCACATTTCGTCACTTCGATTCGGAATTTTGTTCAAAACTATTACGTGAAGTACATACCTCACATTTTCACCCGGGTGAAAGTTAAAAAATTGCGGGAAGTGCTCACACTTAGCATTTTCATCTAATTCAAGTTACAAAATCGATTACCTGAACTGGGCTAAAGGTGCGGCGGGTGTGAAAATTCAGTTCCACAATTCAAGTTAACCGAAGTTTAACTGGTTAACAGCAAGTTGAACCGAGTGTAAACCAGTTAAACTTCGGTTATCTTGAGATAACAAATCGAGCATGGACGTAAAATCAGAGATGAGTTGGGGGATTGCTCACGGGCAGGGTCGCACGATCAAATTCTGTGCTGCCCTTTGGTTTCGTACGTTAGCTTTCACCGTTTTTACCCCAAGGGCGGCGCAACAAATTTCTGATAGTGGCTCGCGAACTCGCGACGGCGGTGTCATCTACCAGTCGCCGTTGGTGGCTCACGTATTCGTGATGGTAATAACATGCAGCAGTTGGTGGTGGTGGCTTACCTACGCTTACCGACACTGCTTGCATTTGATGGTCAGGGAAGAACACTCGTGGCACCCTCAATGACTTTACTCTTCCCTCTGACTTACCTCATTTACTTTATCCGCAAATGATACGAGCAAAATTACAACGTGGGTGCTCAGGAGTTGAGTTATACTTTATATACATGCTACGGAAATTAATAAGAAACTGATGAATGTTCCCTAGGGAACACATAAACCCTAGATAGCCAACATAGCTTGACGTAGCCGGTATGACGCCAGGTATAAAGTACGTGTCGTAAGTTCAAATTCTGAAGAAAGGGAAGGGTGGGTACGGTTTTTTACACAAATTTTTGTCGTCACGTTTTACAGTTCATAGCAATCGCACAAAATACATTGCAGTTATGTAATTTTTTATTATGAGTTCAGCTTTTCATTATTTGTTTCACCGTCCATAAGGTGATTTTAATAATTAATGTGAAATTAATTAAAATCGTACCGTAAGATAACAGTATCAATCTTTCTTATCGGTAGTATTATTATCTAGTTACCCATGTTGTTACCGTTATCTCATTAATTGCAAAAATTTAAATTATTATCATAATTTTGAGAATGAACTCGGA